CGTTTTACAAGAGGTAGGTGGTAGCCGCCGCCCACTCCTTTCCATAGAATAGCTCTACAAATGAAAAAGCAAAATGTATGTGTTTGAAATTAAAGTGTCATTTGACATCCCTGACGGGGGGAGGCTGGTCTGTGTGTTCTTTCCAAGACAACCCGCGAGGGACATAGTCCTAGGCCTCGTACGCACCTCCTTCAGCTAGTCCTAGGCCTCGCACGCACCTCCTTCAGCTAGTCCTAGGCCTCGCACACACCTCCTTCAGATAGTCCTAGGCCTCGCACACACCTCCTTCAGCTAGTCCTAGGCCTCGCAATCACCTCCTTCAGCTAGTCCTAGGCCTCGTATGCACCTCCTTCAGCTATCCGGCCACTCGGTGTATAGAATAATCCGGCCACTCAGTGTCTATAATAATCCGGACACTCCGTGTCTATAATAATCCGGCCACTCGGTGTATATAATAATCCGGCCACTCGGTGTATATAATAATCCGGCCACTCGGTGTATATAATAATCCGGCCACTCGGTGTATATAATAATCCGGCCACTCGGTATAGAAACATATATAAATGAATGGCATATATGAGCCTTCAAACAAATGAGGCATAAAACAATATCTACACACAAAAAAAACAATAAAGACAAAAAGAGTCCCCAGGAAAAAAAACCAAAAGGAAACGATGGTGATTGTGCACAAAATTCCTCAGGTGATTGGCAGCCAATGTGCATATAACTCTCTCGGGTAAGGATAATGACACAATGCCGGCCGACCTTCACCTCCACCCAGTGAGTGATGACAACAAGTGAGTGCTCACCTGGGGAGGTAGACCCGCAGAGCTCGGTCATATGCGCCTTTTCCCTTCTTAATGGGGGAAGGAAGCCCATGCACAGAAAAAGGCGATCAGGTCTCCTCAGATCACAGGTACCGGTATAGATCCAGGAGGGGAGAGAAAAAGGACAAGGACACAGTGCGTAACGCCCAATAAAATGCAATTTATTAAACAAAAAATGCGTTCTCACAATGGTGTAACCAGTACAGGCGCTGGGTATCGCTGGATCCGACCAGCAGGGCAAGGGGCCGAGCTTCTGATGTCGCTGAGCTGAGCCGGACGAACAGGTTTTTTTCATCGCTTTGCTGCCATTTGCCCTGCTGGTTTGATCGCGGGATGCCGCGGTGTAAAGCGCGCCGCCACTGGACTCCAGAGGAGTGGAGGCGTGTTCTCTGGAGTGACCAATCACGCTTCTCTGTCTGGCAATCCGATGGGCGTGTCTGGGTTTGGCGGTTGCCAGGAGAACGGTACTTGCCTGACTGCATTGTGCCAAGTGTAAAGTTTGGTGGATG